GCACAACTCCCCCAAACTCGACTCTTCCCCCATCCTCCATTAACACGTCAACTTTCACCGTATCCAACGCCAATCTGCCGGTGGGTCAATCGGCCATCGCTTTGGACAGAGGGACTCCCACCATTTCTTTGCAAAGACTCCCAAGTCACATTGTAGCCAGTATAACACAGAACGGCAACGGGGCCAGTGTCACAGCCTTGGTTCAACAGGGAGCCGCCGCGGAACCCAGCAGCTCCCCACAGGAGACGAACAGCAAACCAGTCTCAGAGACTGGAGCATCCAAAACAGACGATTGTCAGTCCAAAATTGTAATGTCAAGTCAGTCTGGCAGTGTAAACTCTGTAATAAACGCTGTTTCATCTGCGCCTGCTGTTGTCACACCACCACCACCACCACAACCACCACCACCAGCACCAACAACAACAACTACGACTCCTTCTCTGACCCCTATTACCACCACTGCTGCAGCTACAACCACCACAACCATAACCCAGCCTCCGAGCTGCACCACGACCACTGTTTGTGTCACAGCACCGGTAACTACTACTGTATGTGGTCATGTTACGTCAGTGGCCACCACTATTAGCCTGGTCAGACCCGCAGCCCCTTCTCCGACACCTGCTGTGGCCACGTCTGCCCAGTCTCAACCCCGTCCTGGACTTACAGCACCTCAAAGGATTGTAGCCCCCCAGCTAATTGTAAGACCACCTCAGCAGCAGACTACCATTCAACTGCCCCCTGGGTTTACCATCCCACCTGGTAAGATTTGCAGGAAGGGGAGGAGTGTTGGAACAAAATCCTGATATTGCCTGTGAGACAATGTTATTACTTTGTCACTGGGGGTAAAACAATACCATAACAACTTTTTAAACCTTTACAATAGGAGTTTAAACATCCCTACGACGGTTCACTGACTTTAAAACCTAGAGTTTTGCCTTTTAGCTCCGATGTGTGTTGTTAACGATGGTTTCGGCAAAAAAAAAAAAAATACTGTCAACAAATATGGTTGTGTAAATGTATAATTGCTTTTGAATAAAAACATATTTTTAACCTAGGAATAAGCCTTTTTATATGTACTTAACAGAGGCTACCTTAACATGTCTCTACAGCAGCCAAAACAGACATTTGTTTCTGTTTTGACATGAAACAAAAACAGGAATTGACAAGAAAAGTAGTCGTCCATCTGTCAGAGATGGAGTGAGAAGTTTATTTAAAGACGAGTTTTCATACATCTGCTTTCATGATGTCATGGTTTTAACCGTCATGTCACATTCATCTAAAGTTACATATAGTTGTCAGTGTGATTCTGTACCTGCTCTAGTGTAAGGTACAATCTAGTTGTTTACAATGTAGAGGTGAATATTTAATGGAAATTGTCATCTTTTCATCATCCATCACAACTTTCAATCGTACATAATATTAATACCATAAGAAAATACTGAAAAGGATCACAAGTCTGTGTAGAGTTTGTGGTAAAACTGTGAAATTTTGAGAGTTTAGACGTCTGTCACTGTAGTTCTACTGTACATGCACAGCTGGCCAAGTCTGTGTAGAGCTTGTGGTAAAACTGTGACATTAAAAAAAACAAAATGTGCACTGAGAGTTTAGACGTCTGTCAGTGTAGTTCTACTGTACATGCACAGCTGGACTGTTAGAATCATTGAGTCTGGAGAATAGTTTATTGTGACTTTCTCCAAAGTTTTAATTTTTTTTTCCAAAATGTACTGAATAGCAGATTTTCAAAATGGTTTTATGGCACAAAACATTTGTTGGGATGTGCTTTAAAAATTAATTTGCATTAGCCGTATTGTAAAAAAAGTACCCAGTGGCAATAAGTGTATCAGATGTTTTTGGGCAACATTTATTCCCAGTTCTTTCCCACCAAGACCTTGTCTAAACATGTGTGGTTGGTGGTGTATTTTCACCAAGTTCACCAGCTAAAAACTGCAACATGAAGGTGACTTTAACACAGCTGTTGTATGAAGCAGGTAACAAACAACCTTTGCTTCTTGTCCAGTTAATTACAAGTTAAGTTATATAAAAAAAGACAGCTTTCAACTTTACAAACACTAAGAAAAAGTTCTTTATTAAACTAATAAATACAAGTAATTTAATGTCAACAATTGCTTTGATATTTTTCTCTTGGTGGAGTTTCTGTGTAAACAAATAATAAACTTGGATTTGCTGCAGTTCAGCGAGTAACAAGCCACTTCCTGCCGTTGTATACAAACACATAGATGTTGATTTTGTGCTTCAAAATCTCATAGTGTTTTTTCCTACAAAAACAGCTACAGAAATATATCAAAGTCAATTAGTAGCCAGATAAACCTGTGGTATTTCACACTCACTCGTAGTTAAATGAATGCTCTGAGTAAAGAACTGTAGCTGTGGTTAACCACACTGTTATTCTCCCAGGCACTGCATTGAAACAGTTGTTAAACATGTGTTTTATAAATACTTAAGGTGTCCCGTCATAGAGCGTCGACCGACACCTCCCTGCCCAGCTGTGTCATGCCCAAACACTCTGTAAACACAGGGCTTCACTCCGTTACAAAAACAAAACACTTTTAGCAACATGTCAGTCACAGCAGTGTTGTAATGTGTATTCCTAACGTGTTGCTCTGTGTTGCACTCCAGGAATGGTTTTGGTTCGAACAGAGTTGGGTCAGCTGGTCATGGTTCCACAGCAGGCTTTGGCTCAAGTTCAGGCTCAGGCCCAGGCTCAGGCCCAGGCTCAGGCCCAGGCCCAGGTCCAGGCCCAGGTCCAGGTCCAGGTCCAGGCCCAGAACAGCATCTCTCCTCGTCCTGCCACGCCCACCACAGGAACGTCATTCAGAGTGACAACGCCACAGGTGAGTCGCTAACACACAGACTGTAATGTTATTTTAGTTTTAGAAAATGAAAGTCAGATGAAGCTGGATATAAACCTGTTGCTTCAGTAATATTAACATGGATCCATTTAAGATCCAGACAAAACCAAGCAAAATGTAACTCAGTTTATAGATATAATAATAATAATAATAATTATATTTAAAACTACAATTATTAGATGGAAAACAATTGTCCAATTGATATATTTTAGTTATAACATCTGTCTTAGAACTTTTTGACTCGACACACTTTTAGACTGTAACCAGACAGACTGTCCAAGGCCAGACCGGCTTCACACATTCTAACTTTAGGGAGTGTGAAGCCGGTCTGACCTTGACCTCAGTGGTGTCGAGTAAGAGTTACAGGAAAACAAGAGGTAAAATGAACGCATGAAAAAAAATCATATTATTTCTTACACATGGACAAGGAAGTTAATGACAGTATGAATTATTAAGTTTATTATTTTCACTTTAATGCGTCTGAGATCACAGTGTAGAGTTGAAGTCTGACATTCACACTGACCAAAATGAACACCAGGGGGTTTGGATGTGTTAATAGACGAGCATAAAAATGTGATAGAGCTTAAAAAAAGTTCAAATAAACAAAAACAAAATGAACCAGACAGAAAGGAAGTGAAGAGTTGCAGTTAAAGGGGCCATCAGTACTAGAACTAATGAAAGATTTGATATCACGACTATGGACAGCTCCTGGTGCTGAAATCAGGTACCACATGATCAGCAGTTAAAAATACTTGTAATTTTGAAGAAAATTATGCAATCTCATTGTCCTGTCGGATTGAAAAAAAAAAATCAGTTGCATTTGGTTGCAACAGAAAAAGCCTATGGCAGTTTTTTTAACAAGTGCACACTTTAATTGTTTCTTTTTTTATGCATTTCTAATTAGCTGGAGTAGACACAACATTATAGATACAAAGATTCCTGTTTTCACGTGACACTATTTGAGCTGCGTGTAGTAAAGCAATTATTTATAATGAATACATTAGTAGAACACATGTTGCTGTGTAAATTACTTTTTATAATTAGCTCTCTGCTCCATCACCATAACCTGTGCAGTGACTCTACGTGATATTTTGTGATCTAAATGTATTTGTGAATTAATTCTCTAAAGCTGCTTATGTTTAAGATCATTTTTCTCAATATGTCTTTTTTTTTTCTTCACTTTTTTCTGTTGCTTTAATAAAAACCAGCCACATGTGATTTATTACCTGTGGAGTTCTAATGTTGGTATTGGATGGGCAAGATGGCCTTAATTAATTGAGAAGCTAATTTTTAGGCCCTAATTGGGATGTGATTAATATGTTCAACTGTGTAATTATAAGAGGCGTCTATTCTTGATCATTTTATGTATAGATTAAACGGAGATTAACTGCAGACTTAGTGTCTGAGGGCTTGGTAAATGGCCGCAGGGCGTTCACTCATCAAAGTTTAATGAGCTGCTGAAACATTAATTGGAATTTGCTTATTATCACCTGTGGATACATCCTTCATGTAAGAACCTGAGCGTGTGTGGGGCTGGGTTCACGTCTCAATTAATGTTAATGTGTGTGTCAGTTTGAATCAAGTACAACAGACAATGTCACTGACATGACAGTGACAGAAACACTGTTAACTGGCCACTGGTGTACGTCATCATTTGGCTGTAAAAAAAAACTTCAGCTACTGTTAGAATTTAAATCTAATGTAAGATCGTAGCTCAGGGCTGGGTTAGGGTTAGGAATCATTCAGGATAATCTAAATTTCTACATTTTACTCATCTAAACTTTCTGACTCTTTAACTGAATTAAAAGTGAAGTTAAACACTTACAATAATTATCTCTGTTCTGTCTGGCCTGTTTTTACTCTCCATCTCCTCAGATCCCGTAAAGGACTGTACTTTAGAAAATAAATAAATGACAAAGTCAATTATGCGTTTATTGACCAGTTTAATAGCCTTTCAGTGTATAGACTTAAGCTCACCTCCTTATTTTGGCCTTTTATTTCAGAATTCAGAGATCTTTAGGAAACCAATTCACCTCTTTTCTTGTTGCAAAGACAAAAGAATGACACTAGAGGGCAGCATTTCCCTGTGTTTTAGTTTTCTCAGCCACAACGTTGGATCGAAGTTTTAGTGCCGTATGTGTACGACAGAATATGTAAAAAAGAAAAGGATAAACTTTAAAAACTGGAACAGGTACGTAGCACCTACTGAAGTCAAACATTTATATATTTGAGTGAGAGTTAGTGTTTTTTATGTAAGTATAAAAACTTCCCTGTCAACTGTTGTATTGTATCTAGCTCAAAAACTGTGTCATAAACTAAAACAACAGAGATTGAACATCTCAGTTTAGCTCATTGGGGCTAGGGTATTCATTTAATTAATTTCTTTTTTTTTTAACCCTCAAGTTGACATTAGGTGTGAATTGTTGTTTGTCTCTCTGTGATGGACTGATGTCCCTGGTGTCCTCTCCATCACTGGACGTCAGCTAGGATTAGCCCCAGCTCTGGTTGTAACTTTTAACAGGATAGTCGATGGATGGTTGGATGGTCAACCCTCTTCCCGACTCCTCAGGAGCCCACTCCCTTCACAGAC